AAATCTGAAAAGATGCTCAATGTTACTAATCATCAGAGAAATGCAAATTAAAACCACAATGAGCCCTGGCCAGTTTGGCTCAGCGGTTAGAGCGTCAGCCTGCGGTCTGGAGAGACCCGGGTTCAGTTCCCGCTAAGGGCACGTACTTCGGTTGCAGTTTGTCCCCGGCCCTGGTTGGTCGTGCGGGTGGCAGCCACTTGATGTGTCCCTTTCACGTCGATGTTTCTCTCTCTCTCTCCCTCCCACTCTATCTGTACAAAAAATGGAAAAATATCCTCGGGTGAGGATAAAAAAAACAAAAAAACAAAAACAAAAAAAACCCACAATGAGATATCACCTCATGCCTGTCAGCATGAAAAGGAAACTCTCCTGCACGTTTGGTGGGAATGCAGACTGGTGCAGCCACTGTGAAAAACAGTATGGAGTTTCCTCAAAAATTAGAAATGGAACTGCCTCATGACCCAGTGATTCCACTTCTAGGAATACATCTGAAGAAACCTGAAACACTAATTCGAAAGAATATATGCACCCCTATGTTCATTGCAGCACTATTATAACAGCAAAGATTTGGAAGCAACCCAAGTGCTCATCAGTAGATGAGTGGATAAAAGAGCTGTGGTACATTTACACAATGGAATACTATCCAGCTATAAAAAAGGAAGGAAATCTTACCTTTTGCAACAACATAGATGGACCTAGAAAGTATTATGCTAAGTGAAATAAGCCAGTCAGAGAAAGACATGTACCATATGATTTCACCCATATGTTAAATCTAATGAACAAAATGAACTAACAAGCAAAATAGAGAGACAGACTCATAGATAAAGAGAATAGAATGACAATTGTCAGAGGGGAGAGGGTTTAGGGGGCTAGGTTAAAAAGGTGAAGGGATTAAGCAAGCAAGCAAGCAAACCAACCAACCAAAACAAACTCATAGACACAGACAACAGTATGATGGTTACCAAAGCGAAAGGGGATGGGAGGATGTAGGAGAGGGTTAATGGGGAATAAATGGTGACAGAAGGAGACATGGCTTTGGATGTTGAACACCATAAAATATACAGATGATGTATTTATAGAATCATACACCAAAACCTATATAATTTTATTAACCAGTGCCACCTCAATAAATTCAATAAAATTATTTTTTTAAAGTAATGGTCAAGCCCTGGCTGGTTTGGCTCAGTGGTAGAGCATCAGCCTGTGGACCAAAGAGTCTCAAGTTCGATTCTGGTCAAGGGCACGTACCTTGGCTGCGGTTCGGTCCCGAGCCTCAGTTGGGTTTGTGCGGGAGGCATCCAACCAATGTGTCTCTCTCACGTGGATGTTTCTCTCTCTCTCTCTCTCTCCCCCCCCCCACTCTATCTGAAGATAAATGGAAATAAGTATCCTTGGGTGAGGATTAAAAACAAAACATTTAAAGTAATAGTCAGTGGTTCCAATTCAGTAAATGGCTTTAGGGTTTTTTTTTTTTTTAGAGAGAGGAAGGGAGAGGGAGAATAACATCCATCTGTTGCCTCCCATATGTGCCTGAACAGGGATCAAACCTGAAACCTGGATATGTGCTCTGACCAGGAATTGAACCCGAAACCCTTCAGTGCATGGGATGACACTCCAACCAACTGAGCTACACCAGCCAGAGCTAGGGCTATTTTTTTTTTTTTTTTATGCTGAGCCTGATATAAAGGCTCAGAACCAGCCAAAGACAGAAAAAAGTGTATAGTCTATAGGAGCTAATAATCTAGTTACTTAAATCACACTCACCAAACCTTAAAAACTAAATTCTGAAAACAAGAGGTAAGATTAAAAACAACAATGAATCCTTACCTTTGTATAAAAATTAATCCCGACACCCAAAACAGTGTTTAACCTTAGGAGTTTGGTTTAAAAGGGGACAGGTGTATGTGTACGACTCGTGCTCATCTTTAGTGTCTGGTTCAAGTATCTCTTGTTATTAAAGGGCAAAACATTTTACATTTTCATTTCTTTTTAATATTATATGAAAATAATGTTTCACTTAGAAATCACTGTGTACATGCATGATCTTTTCTGCTTTCCTTCAATACCCCATGATTATTCAAAATCTAAGGAATTAGTGTCAGTCTGATTCAGTTAAAATGACAAGGTAGGAAAGTACTGAATCCACTATGGATATAGGCTTCTAAAAATTAAGGGAGAGAGGCCATGGAATCACTTACAGGCATTTAACAACAACAAAAAAATATTATATCTCTTTGCTCTTGCTAAGGGTATGTCTCTCAAACAGTTTTCTTCGTATCTATTCCCATTTGTAAAGCTCTCAACCCTACCCCACTACACCAAAATCATTTGATCTTGAACCTTTAAGCCATCAGTGAATTCTCCTGTTAGAAAGAGAAATACACGCTTAGAGTTAGAATTTTAAATTTAACACACACACACACACACACACACACAAAACATCCAAAATATATTTTGTAATTAACTAAGTCTTTGGCTAAAGAACATTAATCCCCAGAGCATCTTCCATCCAAGAGAGAAATTCTGCACTCCGTTGGTTTTCTTTTCTCATCATATCATATATTCACTGATAGCCATACACAAATAATAAAAATCAAGAGCAGAATAAATAATATGCTTTTAACCTAGGTAGTGCTTTACATAAAATTCTGAACTGTCATGTACTAAACCTTTTCAACACCTGTAACATACAATCAATATCTTCAGATTATCTGAGATTTAATGTGAACATCAATTTAAAATATGTCAAGAGTTCAAGGTAACAAATACCCAAGTACCATATATTGCTAATGATGTCTTCCCTTATAAAAACATGATCTTCTTACTCCCAAATGATACAGGAACCCAATTACTTTCATTGATATAATAAATAGAATTCATCTTGGAAACAGGTGAAAAATCCAGTGATTTAATACCACAAACTCATTTATTCCTAATGATAATCTTTCTTTCATTATACCTCAGAGTAGAAGATCTATGAATAGTTGGGATTCAAAGTACATCTGAATTTCAATAGTTTGAGATTTATTTTCTTTCCCGTTTACTTGATTATTAACTGATCTCCAACCAAACTCTTCCAAAAAGATCTTTAATAAAGGTTCGGAAAGAACTTCATTGTCAGTATTGTTATTATTATTATTATAGGAGGAAAATAAACCATTGACAGCAAGTGTTCAATTTCACAAAATGAATCACTAGCAGAATCTGAGAGAGAATCTAAGACTGATTCAGGACAATTCACTTAATCACAAATAATAAGGGCAAACAATCTTTTCAAAGCCTTACTACAGCCTAGCATCCATTCCCCCCCAACCCCCACCCCTGCTAAAATCATTTCACAGGGTCATATTAGCTGTGTGGACTAATAGACTCTTCCATGATATAGCAAAGATTAAACCCGATCCTTACCATGGCTGCTAAGTTTAGTGGCTACTGTTGCTTTTTCTTCTAAGCTCTCTGCTGCTTCTAATACTTACCTGATCTGCCTGGGGACAATCTTAAAGCAGCTGTTTTTCTAAAACCTGTCAGCCTATGTATTTCCCCTATATATTTCCCCGGTGTTTGAGTGTGTGGAAGGGGGTACTGGTAGGAAGAAGTAAATACATTGATCAGTGGTAGCACACTGGTGGGAATGAACTTTAAGCTATGAATAGAATTCTTCCCAGCCATTTCATTTCAAAAAGGAATTTTGTGTGCCTTACAGAAATAAAATCCAAATATCATAAGTAAATCAAGAAAGCACAAAAACAAGAAAATAGAAGGTAATTACTCCATTTTATTGACCCAAGTTCAAGAAAATCCAGATTAAAATATTCAGGCAGACTCTGAAATATACAGCTGTCACAATGAAAGCATTTCAGAGCAATATGTGCTGCAATATGCTACTATGATTAAAAGCTATGTAATCTGGGGAACCGCTGTAACAAAAAGAAAAAGAACTAGACAAATAGCTTTTTACATACTTTTCTAAAAAGGATAGGCTGTAATCTTATCATAGTTATACAAAGATAGGTACGTCTCTCATTTTACCTTGTATTAAAATATATTTTCATCCATAGATATTTAATTACCTTATATCATACATGGTTTAATACCAAGAATAAACTTATTTTATGATACTATAACAAGTGTTTTAATTCTGAATCCATCATAACACATACGAAGGGTAATCAATTATCTCATACTGTTTAAGCAGAAAAGATCCTCCTACATACAGCTTTCCTGGTACTTTTTTATTTACTTTCGTTTTTTTGTTTTTGTTTTTTAATGTACAGAAATTACCGGATATGTACAAATGAGAGAATCAGGAGCAGCAATGAAGTACACCATATGTTCGTACTGTAGGCTGAGTCCCCGTCTTTGTTCCAATAGTCTAGAGCCACTGGAAGGAAAGCTAAGTATCCATCTATTAAAACATATTTTTACATTATTGCTGCCAAAAGTTCTTCAGATAGGTTTAGTCATCTTGATTATTCCTGCCTGAATTTGCTCCTTTAATACAGATCTCCTTCAATGCTAGGAACCTGCAGTACAACTACCCTGGAAAACAAGTCGGTAGCAGAATAATCTGATAAAACAATGTAAAGGGTAAACATTGAAAAAACGCAAAGTTATCTTCCTAGTGAAAGAGTTCTCAAGTAATTCTGTATCAGTGGCATTTTTTTTTTTTTTTTTACCAGCTACGCACCTATCCAGATAACATTCACCTTGTTCTCAATTAACAGGATTTCCCTCAATCTTAATAATCTCCTTGAACAGTTTTCATGGCACAACTCAAACCAAAAACACTAACCACGCCCTTTATACCCAGAGTCAAGCCACCTTTGCTTCCCACCCCGCTGCCAAAGTCCAAAAATGTACATTTCACCTAAGAAGGTTTGCACCAGTTCTCTAATCCGAGTCAGAGAGACTCCTTTTTAGCCGTGCCCTGACACAATTCCTATTGGAAGACGCTTTCTCCCGGGCAATGTGCAGGCGCCAGAAGAAACACTCAGGCTTACCTCCCAGACACCTGCAACCCCTGGCGGGATGCGGGAGCTGAGGCTTAGAGGACTGCGCTGGGCTCCGCTCCGCTCTCGTTCCTGCTCTCCTCTCTCCCGGGAAACTAAGTCCAGGCTGCGCCTTCGGCTGCTACAAGAACACAAGCTCCGCCTTCCCCTCCTCTAGTTGGCGAATTCGGCAGCTGTTGCTCCTCCCCCTGCTGTTTCTTCTGCTGCCCCGGCTGGAGGCGGCGGGAAGCTGCTGTCCTGTACCTGCAGCTGTTCTGCTGCTTCCCTTTCCCTGGGGACCCCTCTCCTCTCACTCCGCAGCCTCACACCTGGAGCTGCCTCCCGCCCTGCGCCGGCAGCTCCGCGAAGAGTCCAGGCTCAACCTCTCCCTCCCCGACTCGCAGGTCTGGCAGCCCGGGATGTCTGGGGCTCGGCCGCTTTCGTGGAAGCTGCTCCTCACGCCAGGGAGCATCCCCACACTGCACCCTCCCTCCACCCCGGCGATTTCCCCCAGCGCATTCATTCCGCAGGCGTCCACAGCTCAGTAGCTCAGTGTTCCCTACTTCGAACTCTCCCCCCAACCCACTTCCCCTCCTCCTTCTGCTCCGCTAGCCCGCCCCCACAATGGGTGAGTAGCCGCCGGGCCGACCCTGCACCCTGATTGGCGCAGGTGAGAGCTGACCCCTCCCTTCCTTTTCTTTCCGTGCACCCTCTCTCTTCATTTCACCTCCTCCCGCAAAGGCAGGGAGCTCTCCTACTATTGGCTAGAAGTGTCCCCACCCATCGCCTTAGGCTCCACCGCACAGCCTGTCGGGAATTGTAGTCTTGCATGTGCACGAATAGCCGAGGACGCCGGCGAAAGGGACTACGAGTCCCCATAGGCCTCTTCGCGACTCCGGCTGGGCAGGATTCCGGACAACGCCTGGTTCCTCTCGGGTCCTTCCGGCGTCGCCGGAGTGAATTGATCCGGGAGTTGAAGAGGGCTTCAAGGTGGGAAGTGAAGTCAGTGCCTCAGTTGCCGGTAAGGTGTGGCTGTTCTGTCCCAGTCCCTCTATCCCTGCGCAGAGCATGGGAGGTTTGGGACCACATTAGAGCCGTGGCTGAGGCACTTGGGCTTGCTTCTGGCAGGCGGAGCGGACGGGGCTGGGAACCGGGCCCTATGGGCGTAAGCGAGGTTACCCTACGCGAGTGGCGTAAAGCGGGTTTGTAAATGCCGCCTGCCCTGCTCGGGCCTGAACGCCTCCAGGAAGTCTCCCCTAGGTGGTGGCGAGAGGGGAAGGGCGAGGTTGGCCTCTGGTGCCCCGGGAGAAGGGAGAGGGCGGATGTGCCTGGGGTGGGGTCCTCTTAAGGTGTGGCTTGGGGAGGGGAGGTGAGGCTGCTGTTGTTTTCCTTGCTTTAGAAGTAGGATAGGGAGGAGTGGAGGGAGGAAAGGACGCTTGGAGTCTGCTCGTGGGGTGACCCAGGTTATGCCCTTTGAGGAAAGAACTGTAGAAGGAAGAGTCAAATGTTGACAGAGATCTACGGATTAGGTTCCAGTTTCATGGTGTGGCCCCTCTAAAGAGGTAATTTTGTCCTAAGCAGAAAATCTTAATCCTTTTAGGTGCAATTCCTAAGATATGTGCACACCTTTACAGTTTTCAAAGAGCATTCACTTTGGGATGCTGATGAGGAAACTGAGGGGATAAATGATGTGTCCAAGGTCACAGACGTAGGGACAGATCTTCTGAGTTTGTAGTCCAGATCCTGGATCAGAGCTGCTTCAGAAAGAGAGTTGGTTGGGTATTTTGAAGAAGGTGGAGAAAGTTTCAAAGTAATGCATTTTACGTATTTTTAAGCCATTTGTGGGGTGAAGACTTTTTGAACTGGGAGAAATTCCTCCATGAAAAAAGGACACATTGCTAACCTTTTGGAAAAATCAGTCTCACTTTACATATTTTATTTTATTAGGGGTATATTAAGTGATGCATTGTATCCGTACTTTATGTGGTAGTGATACAGGAGAATATCACTTAAAACAGTACACCCGATCTCCTAGCGAAAAGACTGTTGTTTTCCCTTCCTACCTTAGGACTTTTTTTTCCCCCCTCTCATTTTATAAAACTGACAATGGTGGGATTGGAATTATTTGGTAAAATTTATTTTACACTTTTTTCAAATAATACAGCATCGAGTTTAATGTGATCATCACCAGAAAAGAAGATACCTTGCATTTCTTGGAGGTAGTATCACATTTTTAAAAATTTTACTTTTCCCGTCATTTTCTTGGCTCTGAGATGTTTGTAAATTACATCAGGCTAGTACATAGTTTATTTTTCCTAGCATCATCATCTGTTATTTTTAACTTATCCTTAATTGAAATTAAAGAATGGAAAACATGTGACATTCTATGTTTTATATTGAGTAGTAAAGTAGTGTGGTTGTTTCAGTCTTATCCTATATAATTGTTATTGTGACCAAATATAGTTCATGAACATTATTGGGTAGTTCTTTAATAGAATCTTGGAGTATATTCATTGACATCAGGATTTCTTTGTGCTAAGTTTATAAACAACAATCAGGTCTCTGGTGATAGCAGGTAATCAGTCATGTTGTATAAGTCGACCATTGAAGTACACTGCATTTTTCATGTACTTTGCAATTATTAATATTACCACCTTTTTTTTTTTTTTTTTTTTTTTATCCTCACCAGAGGACATTTTTTTTTTTTTTTGCATTTATCTTCAGATAGAGCAGGAGGGAGAGAGCGGGGAAGAGGGGGAGAGAAACATCGATGTGAAAGAGACACACCAAGTGGCTGCCACCCACTGGCGACCTCAACTGGGACCGGGGACAAACTGCAACCGAGATACGTGCCCTTAGCGGGAACCGAACCCAGGACTCTCGGGTCCACGGGCTGACTCTCTAACCACTGAGCAAAACCGGCCAGGGCAATATTACCACCTTTTAAATACAAAAGCATTTTTCTAGGATCAGAGGTATTAGGTTCCCCTATAGTTGAAGTTAAGATGGTCTGGAAATTAACATGACATTTAAGATAGGAGAGAAGTATGAAACTAGAATGAAGTAAACTCAGGAATACTATAGCACCATGAGTAATACAGTACACAAGGAAGGAAAACCACCTAAACAAATGGAAAATTATGTGGGGGTTAACTGGCTTTGTGCTAAATTAGAAGGGTGCGGTAGTTTCAGTAGACCATGAGCTGAACATAAGTGAGTGAATGATAGTAAAGCAAGAATGTTAATGTAGTTTCTAGATGGCAATGTAGACATTTACTTTTTGTTGGGGAAGTGTGAAATGAGTTTTCTGCCTTTTGGCATGCAGCTATGAGGCTATGGAATGAAGTTTTGAACTAAAAGTCAGGAAAATTTGGAAGTGAGTAGTACAATGAATATAATGCACTTGCTCAGCATGTGTGTGTGTGTTTTTTTTTTGTTTTTTGTTTTTTGTCCTTGGTTCAATTCTACCACTAACTTCTCTTTGTTTCTGAGGTTCAGATCTGATATTTCACCTATTTTGCATTGGAGTAATGTTTCCATTATATTTATTATCTTTCAGTCACATGTTGGGGTACTGTGGCCATTTTGGATATCTGTACATTGAATAATTTCAGCTTCACACTGTTCTGTTTTTAGCCTTTGGACATCATCTCTTACAGAACTTAGGATGTCTCCATATATAGTCTCTTTCTTTTTTTAAAAAAATGTTTTTTTCTTTATTGATTTTAGAGAGGAAGGGAGAGGGAGAGAGAGATAGAAACATCCATGATAGAGAACATCGATTGGCTGCCTCCTGCATGCCCCCTACTGGGCCCACAACCAGGGCCACAATCCCGACCAACCCAGAATCCGGCGACCTCTTGGTACATGGGTCCACGCTCAACCACTGAAGCCACACCAGCCAGGCCAGTCTCTTTCTTTTTAAGGATATGAAGTCATAAGAACAGGACTGTATATTATCATTGTATTCCCGGTAGGTAAAATATTGAGTACCTATTTACAATGAGAATGAAGAGGTTCAGATTGGTTAAGTGCAAGGGCATGTAACTGGTCACTGGTGGGACCGAGGCATTATTCAGGTCTTCTTTCTACAGATCTTGAATATTGTAGACTTAGTTCCCATAGATTATTTATTTTATATAAGAAAAAGACTTTATATGACTTAACTATTCAGATTCTATTACCCTCTTACTCTGTTTTATGCTGACAATTTATGTTTTGTCTCCTGTCAGGCTCTCTGTCCTTATCCCCTGCCTTTCTCATTTACTGTGCCTTTCAGTTACTATGTACACAAACTCCTTCCTGACTTGGGGACCTTTGTATAGGTTCTGTCCTTCCTGCCTGGATTGCTTCCCTCCCTTCCCAAAGCTGGCCAACTTCTAGTAATTTTTAAGTCTCAGTTTAAATGTCAGGGGAACCTTTCCTCTTTGACCCCCTCCTTTCCAAAATTAGTGTAAGTTCCCATGATAACCTCACCATGCTCTGTACTTGTCCTTTGTAGCATCATCACTTAGGAACTTAACTGTTTTTGTATTTATTTGACAAGTGTCTGTCTCCCTCACTAGACTATAAGCTATGTAGGCAGGGCCCTACCATTTGTCAGGTGCCTTACTTCTCTGCTTATACAGAATCTGGCGTAATGTAAATGCCCAGTAAATATTTGCTGATTGAGTGCATTCATGCACAGTGCCTCCAGCACTCTGCTAGGGACAGAAAAATAGAAATGAGTAAAACAGACATGCTTCCCAGCCTTAAATAAAAAGGAGTCATTGACAGAAGTCTGATATAAATTGTAGAAAGATCTTCTTTCTTGGAGGTCTCTAAAATCAGTATAATTTTCTATAGGCAGATGACACAGGAGTCATTTTTTATTACAGCAAGCTTTCTGTATAAAAGAGCATTTTGGAGACCTCATAACAAAATGTAGACATGGAAGAAACTAACTTTTAATGAGTTCTATTCTCCCTAATGTTATCTCATTTTTTCCTCAGCAAAATCTGTTTCCTTTTTACTTTGTTGTTTCATTTTGATTTTTAATCATGGTATCTTCCTTAGAAATTTACCTGCTTTAGATTGGTGCCTTTATAAAGTGGAGTAATGCTTGTTTCAAAGAAGCTTATATTTTGGGCTTCTTGAAAAATTTCATTTTTCAGTAGGTTTTATTGCAATATTTTATTTGCTTTCAACCTAGATACTTATGAGAGTAAAAAGATCATCATTTTAAAAACATGCAAACTAAATTCAGGGATAAATTACATTAGATTTTGGTCTGAAAACATATTCTTGAATCCTTTGCAATACTATAGTAAGTAGAAAAATTCAACTACTCTGAGTTGCTGTAGACTTACATGCTTTCATGAATTCACTCCCCCACAAGACATTGTCAAAAAAGTGATTGCTGCTATTTGGCTTTAAAATTTGATAATTCTCCCAGTTTTTATTATTAAATATGTCTTTGATAAGTCCTAAATTTACTTTATTAAAAGTCAGTCTTTCTGTTATTGGAATCTTAGATTAAAAAATTTATCTTTACCTATTATAACCAAAATGTGGAGTATAAAACTGAAGTATTGCTTCTTATATGTTGGCTTCTTCAGGTCAAAATGATAGATAATGTTACTAAGAATTTAAAGTTAATTTCATGATAAATAATTTGTTCTCCATAATAACTCTAAAAGTGATTTAGAAATTAGTGTAATTGATTATGTATATTATTGCATTTGAAATATTGTAAGTTGCATTCTTAGAGACTTATGTTTTCGGAATGCACAATGTGAAAAATGAAAGCACCTTCATTGCAGCAATTATAAATTATTTGCAGAAAGATAAACAATGTAGTTTTGTGGTCCATTTTTATCTGTATGAAGACGAAAAAGTTTTCTCATTTTATCTACAAAAAATTGCATCTTGGATGTATTGTAATATCACAATCCTATTTTTGAAGGTCACCCTTAGATTTTTGTGTGGGTAATCTTTTTTTTTTTTTTTTAAACCACCTCAAATTGGATCTATTCAATCTCA